CAGGAACTGTCAGGATCAGCACACAAAATCACACAAATATTGTTATACAGGACGGTCCAAAAATCAGTCTTTAATAAAATTTCAGTTGTAACAAAGAGCACCCCAGTAACTAAATAATTAAACTGCAAGCAGGCTTAAAGGGAAAAAGGCTTTACATTTTAAATTTATATATTTCCGTAGCACATGTTCTACGTATCCACATGTTCTTCGGTGTGTTGTAGAGGTCAGAGGCCTGTGGGAGCCCATTATCTCTCCATATTGTTCTGAGGATCAAACTCGGGTATCAGGTTAACAGACCATCTTGCCAGCCTCAGACTTTTATCATTGTGTATTCATAGGATCCTTTCTGAATTTCCAGTGTTAAATGACACTGAATTACAGGGTGGGAGAACGAAGTGTGGGGATTTTGTTTGTTTGTTTGGTTGGTTTTTGTGTTGTTTGTTTGGTTTTGTTTTTGAGACATTCTTGTGTATACCAGATTCCCAACTCTCTGTAGCTAAGGATAACTTTATTTTTTTTATTTTTTATTTATTTATTTTTATTTTTTTTGGTTTTTCGAGACAGGGTTTCTCTGTATAGTCCTGGCTGTCCTGGAACTCACTCTGTAGAACAGGCTGGCCTCAAACTCAGAAATCCGTAAGGATAACTTTAAATTTCTGATCCTACTCCCCACTTCTCTTAAGTGCTAGGATTGCAGGCATGTGTGCTGGGGATCGAGCCAGGGTTTCATGTATGCTAGACAAATACCCCTACAACCAAGCTATATCTCTAGCCCTGTTTGTTTGCTTTCTATGGTACAATAGAGAAAAATGGTTTTATTTCCTTAAAACAGCTCAGTAAAGACAAATATAGCTGACAGGTTTGATTTTCTTGAGGACATTCTAGACACTAACTGAAGTGGATATGATGGACCCACTGGCATGCAGGCTTTGGAAAACCTGTAGGGTGCTGTTTTCTTTGGCTCCTATTACAAGCACTGGTTTTGATTGTGGTGATTATGTCTTATAGGACTCAGGATGGAGAGACTGCCCTTCAGCTGGCCATCAGAAATCAGCTTCCACTAGTGGTTGATGCTATATGTACTCGAGGAGCTGACATGTCTGTGCCAGATGAAAAAGGGAACCCACCACTGTGGCTTGCCTTGGCAAGTAATCTGGAGGACATTGCTTCCACTTTGGTGAGTCATGCAAAACAGAGCCTCTGCTTACAGATGGGGGTATTTTGTGTCAAATACAGATTGGTTGCCTGTGTAGTGTCACAGAAGCAATAGGAGAGCCAAGTCATAATTCCAAGTCAAGGACAAGCAGTGGAAAATAATGTTATGAAGTCCAGGATAATGGGGCCTGAGAGATGGTACTTGTTGCAAAGAACCCAGAGTTGACTTCCAGACCCACATGGTGGTTTGTAATCATAACTCCAGTTTAGGGAATCTGATGCTCTCTTCTGACTTCAGCAGGCTCCAGGCATGCATATGGGTGTACAGACATACATGCAGGAAAAACGCCCATATGCATAAAAATAAAATAAGTCTGAAGAAGTTGGAGGTTCAGTGGGGCATGAGTTATATTCACCTTTAATCCCAGTACTGGGCAGGTAAGGCTGTGGCATCTTCATGAGTTCAAGGTCATCTTAGTCTACAAAATAAGTTCCAGACTAGCCAGAGCTATACAGTGAGAATCTGTCTAGGGTGAGAGGGAGACACTGTGAGATTCACCTTGGTCTGACTAGCACTTTGTGTGAGCTGTCTTTAAGAGACTACAGAGAGGATCCTGTACCTTTCCCGGCCCGTGGCCGAGAGGGGCAAGATGATGCCGGAGGGTGTAGCCGGTGCTCCCAGGCAGCCGCGGGCGGGGGACATTGCCCAAGGACTCTGGATGCCTCTCTAGAACATGAGCTCAGCCAAGAGTTCCCGCTACAGCCGTTTCTCGGGGGGGGGGGGGGTACCGCCAACCTTCCCTCCTCAGACAGCAGTGGGACCAGGATGGAAACGACCTTTGGGCCTACCTTTTCGACCGTCAGTACCATCACCAAAGCCGATGGGGCCAGCACATACAAACAGCATCGCAGGACACCTTCCTCCTCTAGCACCCTTGCCTGTTCGCCACAAGATGAGGAGGATGGCATGCCCCCCATCAACACTCCTCGCTGATCTGACTCAGCCATCTCTGTCCGCTCCCTTCACTCCAAGTCCAGCATGTCCCAGCGCTCCATGTTTTCGCTGCCTGAGGAGGAAGAAGAGCCGGAGCCACTGGTGTTTGCCAAGCAACCCTCAGTGAAGCTCTGCTGCCAGCTCTGCTGCAGTGTGTTCAAGGACCCTGTGATCACTACCTGTGGGCACAGCTTCTGCAGACGATGTGCCTTGAAGTCAGAGAAGTGTCCTGTGGACAATGCCAAGCTGACAGTGGTGATGAACAACATTGCAGTAGCTGAGCAGATTGGAGAGCTCTTCATACATTGTCAGCATGGCTGCCATGCAGCTGGCACTGGAAAGCTTGGTGTCTTTGAGGTAGACGCAAGGGGCTGCCCCTTCACCATCAAGCTTAGTGCCCGTAAGGACCACGAGAGTAGTTGTGACTACAGGCCTGTGCGCTGCCCTAACAACCCCAGCTGCCCACCCCTTCTCAAGATGAATCTCGAGGCCCACCTGAAAGAATGCGAGCATATCAAGTGTCCCCACTCTAAGTACAGGTGCACATTTATTGGGAATCAGGACACCTATGAGACAACACCTAGAAACATGCCACTTTGAGGGCCTGAAGGAGTTCCTGCAGCAGACCGATGACCGCTTCCACAAGATGCATGTGGCACTGGCCCAGAAGGACCAGGAGATCGCCTTCCTGCGTTCTATGCTGGGCAAACTCTCAGAGAAGATTGACCAGCTGGAGAAGAGCCTTGAGCTCAAGTTTGATGTCCTGGATGAGAACCAGAGCAAGCTCAGTGAGGACCTCCTGGAGTTCCGGAGGGATGCATCCGTGCTGAATGATGAGCTGTCTCACATCGATGCACGCCTGAGCATGGGTATCCTCGGATCCTGTGATCCTCAGCAGATCTTCACGTGCAAAGGGACCTTTGTGGGACACCAGGGCCTGTCTGGTGTCTCTGTGTCTATTCCATGGGTGACCTGCTCTTCAGTGGCTCTTCTGACAAGACGATCAAGGTGTGGGACACGTGTACCACTTACAAGTGCCAAAAGACACTGGAAGGTCATGATGGTATTGTGCTGGCGCTCTGTATCCAGGGGTGCAAACTGTACAGTGGGTCTGCAGACTGCACCATCATTGTGTGGGACATCCAGAACCTACAGAAGGTGAACACCATCCGGGCCCATGACAACCCTGTATGCACACTGGTGTCTTCCCATAACATGCTCTTCAGTGGCTCCCTGAAAGCCATCAGGGTCTGGGACATTGTGGGCACTGAGCTAAAGTTGAAGAAGGAACTCACAGGCCTCAACCACTGGGTGCGGGCCCTGGTGGCAGCACAGAGCTATCTATACAGTGGCTCTTAACAGACCATCAAGATCTGGGACATTCGGACCCTTGACTGCATCCATGTCCTGCAGACATCTGGTGGCAGTGTGTATTCCATTGCTGTGACGAATCACCACATTGTCTGTGGCACCTATGAGAACCTCATTCATGTATGGGACATTGAATCCAAAGAGCAGGTGCAGACCCTAATGGGCCACATGGGCACAGTATATGCCCTGGCAGTCATTTCAACACCAGACCAGACCAAAGTCTTCAGTGCATCCTATGACTGGTCCCTCAGGGTCTGGAGCATGGACAACATGATCTGCACAAGGCACTGCTGCGCCATCAGGGCAGTGTCACTGCACTGGCTGTTTCCCGGGGCCGGTTCTTCTCAGGGGCTGTAGATAGCACCGTGAAGGTTTGGACATGCTAACAGAATCCAGGCCAGGCTTGGCTCCCTTTGGGTCTCTAAGTCAGGCTGGACCTCCGTGATGGCCTTGGAATGTCAGCCTGTCTTGTGGAGACAGGTAGACAGGCTCAAACAGCTAGGCAGTGTCATCTCTGCTTATGCTTGGCGAGGGATCTTTCATAAGGCCCACCCTTACTTGTACCAGAGAAATGCCTAGGCCCTTCTCTGGGCACCAGGTACGATGCTTGCCCGGCCCCACCATTCGTATCACTCCACAGACTTTTGTTTTGAGACAGGGTCTCACTATGTAGCTCTGACTTGCCTGGAACCTAGCCTCGAACTCACAGATCTGCCTGCCTCCACCTCCCAAGTGTTGGGAGTAAAGGCATGTGCCACCGCTCCTGGCAGGACCCAGATGGACCATGGGTCCTTTTTACTCACCTTTTCTACTGGTTTTAGACTGTATATAGATTTTATTACTTCCTTGTTGAAATAAAAGCTGCACAGACTGTGAAAAAAAAAAAAAAAGAGAGAGAGAGAGAGACTACAGAGAGGAGTGCTAGAGGGGAGGGATTGCCTCAGGCATCTCCTGGTCAGGGCTTGATTTGATGCTGTTACTATCACCATATTAATAAATCCCCAAATTTTGGGGTTGCCTGTGTTGTTGAAAAGACAGATCTAAAAGGAGAGGTAAACCTGGGGTTTCTCATTAATCACTCTGAGGGCCTGCAGACATTGAGGCATTTAGCCTGACATGTTAATCAGCTGTTTTGAGGGATTGCCTATTAATTACAGGTGTGTTTTGCTGAGGGACTTTGGAGTACACATATACACAGGCACTGTCCTGAGTAGAACCCAACTGGAGAGGCACTAATGTATATTTCTGAAAACCATACCCCTGAGACCTAGTGTAAGAATTTGCAAAGAGCAGATTATATTTATTTTTTAATTTTTTATGTGTATGGCATTTTGCCTACATGTACTTCTGTGTACCATGTGCATTCCTGGTGTTCATGTAGGCCAAAGGGGGCATCAGATCCCCTGGAACTAGAATTAACAAATTGTGAGCTACAGTGTGCGGATAGAGAATCAAACCTGGTTCATCTAAAAGAGCTGCCAGTGCTCCTAATAGATAAGTCATCTTTTCAGCTCTCACAGAGCAGATTTGAGTTAGTGTTTATAATACTAATGAGTGGTTATAATAATGATATCATCTTATCTGAAAAGTAATTGCTCGAAGTTGAAAATAAATATTTTCCCTTTTGCTTGACAATGTTTGTGAGAAAACTGGTTTCTCTGCAGGTCAGACATGGTTGTGATGCTACATGCTGGGGCCCAGGACCAAGTGGATGTCTTCAGACACTTCTGCATAGAGCCATTGATGAAAACAATGAATCTACTGCCTGCTTTCTTATTCGAAGGTCTGAGAAACCAGAGTATCTTTTTATTTAGCTTACTGCAAACTACCTCTTTTTTTTTTTAATATGTTAAGTTACCTCAGTCTTGACATGCCTATAGCTGCTGGCCTTGACTTTAATAATTTAGATTATCATAGGATTCTGTCATGTCAAGTCATTTGAGAACCAAGCTAGCTGGGGAGCTAAAGTTTTCACATACCTAGATCAAAACAATCTTCTGCTTTGGAGACTGAACTGACCTTCAGAACAGTTCCCACTGTGATGTCAGGAAGTTAGGGTGAAGGAGGCTATAGGCTTATCTGAGCACCACCATGACATATGAAGCATAAAAGGCTCACAACCCTCTTAGAGAGTGGGAAAGGAAGAGGCAAGGTAAACTGAGAAACTTTATGAATTGTGGTTCTTAAAGTTTAAGGGAATCTGCAACAGTTCTCAGGTTGCCCTAAGACCAATACAAGAGAGGCTATGGCAGTAGCATCCTGTCTAGAGCTTGATGCTGAGAACCAGGCTAGCAGTGGCAATGGTGGCTTTGTTGTTAGTGGGTGAAGCTGCTGTTCTCTAGTTCCTGCTGGACAAGGTGGAAGATGACCTTCTGTTTCCCTACTTCAGTGGCTGTGATGTGAATAGTCCCAGACAACCAGGTACTGATGGAGAAGGAGAAGAGGAAGCAAGGGATGGGCAGACTCCTCTGCATTTGGCAGCCTCATGGGGACTAGAAGAGACGGTACAGTGTCTTTTGGAGTTTGGTGCCAACGTCAATGCACAGGTATATAGTTTTACTTTTCTGGGGAGGTAAACTTAGAGGGGGGCGTGGGGAGTGAGTTTATGTGAGCACACGTGTTCTTTGATGTTTTTTTAGGCACTGCCCACCTAATATATTTTAAAGATTTATCTACTTTTTATTTTATGTGTATGAGTTTTTGCCAGCATGTACACAAGTGTACTAGATATGTGCCTGGCATAAGATGAGACCAGAAAAGGCACTACACTCTTGAAACTGGAATTGCAGTTGTAAGGCTCCTTGTGGGTGCTGGAGACTGAACTGGGTCTTCTGAAAGAGCAGCCAATGTTCTTAATTGCTGAGCTCTCTCTCCAGTCCAGGTGTCCACCTTATTTTTAAGACAGGGTCTCCAGTTGGCCTGAGACTTGGACATCCAGGCTGCCTGGCCAGCAAACCCCAGAGTCCACCTGCCTTCCCTTTCGCAGCACGAGAATCAGAATCTCATGCTTTTTACATGGGTCCTGAGGATCAAGCCCCAGTTGTTAGTTTGTGAAGCAAATACTTTACTGCCTGAGTCATCTCCCCAGCTCCAGAAGCCTGTCGGGATTTAACTGAGTTGTGTAAATGAGAGCTGACGGTGACTATAGCTCTTCTGAAACAATGTGTTTGTTGCCACTGGGACACTGTGGTCATGAAACTGTGGTGGCAAGAAGCTGCCAGTAATTTTTGTTTTGCCTCTTTAAAAACTGATTTCAAACACAGGGTCTCATAGCTGAAATTTATTTTAAAAGTCCCCCCCCCTTTCATATTGTCCCTGAGTTTTATCTTTCAAGTAGATGTGGGGATTTGTGCCTCCTCTCCATAGGATGCAGAAGGAAGAACACCTGTCCATGTGGCCATCAGCAACCAGCATAGTGTCATCATTCAGCTGTTGATCTCTCACCCCAACATTGAGTTGAGCGTACGGGACAGACAAGGGCTGACCCCTTTTGCCTGCGCCATGACTTACAAGAACAATAAGGCAGCTGAGGCCATTCTAAAACGAGAGTCTGGGGCTGCTGAGCAGGTCAGTGTCCAACCATCACCATTCACCACAGCAGAACTTACCATTGCCTCTAACTAAACAGTTCCCTTCTACACAAAGATGCTTGTTTTGAGATTAAACTCCCATTTTCTGAACATTTAACCGTTACAGTGCCCTGTGTCTGCTGGCTGGGGCATGACTCTCTTTCCTGGATTCAGCCACTTGGTGATAGATGGAAGTGGCTGGGAAAGGAGTGCAAATGAGGGCTTGGCATTAGAGTCCTGTGAGTGTGCAGCTGAACTCACTCTCTGTGTTTGCTGAACATTTTAATAATGAATATCTCTAAAATATTAAAACTGAATTCAAGGTATTTGTGATATTGGGTGACTTTCTGAGTGTTTTGAGGCGTTTTTACTTAATAGCACGTTAATTCTCCTTGTGCTTTACCACGTCTTTATCATCTGCTAAGTCCTGGTCGCAGCCTGTTCATCTACATCAGTGTGTGTGACATGAGGACAGTGACTGATAGGTGGTGAAAGCTCGAATAGGTTTATTAGGTCAGTCCACAAAAACCTGATTCCAGCTAGCTTAAGGGTGTTGCCAGGATTTATAAGAAGCCATTTATGGATAAAATGTGATGTGGGGCCTGCATAAAATGCAGTCCTGGCATGAAGATGACTGCTTGCTAGCACAGGCTTTGGTACATCACCTTTCTTTGTCATTTTCCTAAGTGTTAAAGTTGCTATTAACTTTGCCCATACTGAGTATAAGACAGTCATGAATGGGGACAGACCTCACATTTCTCCAACATGTAGTATGAAACTGGTACTACTGATCTGAGTCTCTGCAGATTTTACTTACCCAGCACACAGTACATGTGGAGGTGGTGGTTATGGTGATGCGGAGTGTGGAGTGTGGAACGTGTTGTCTTCTCTTAAGCACTGGGACTAGTGATGTAGTATTCATTCTTGTAACTACAACCCATGCTGGGGTTTGACTTGAGACATCTTCTGGCTACTTCATGCTTATCTGGCCTGCTGCTGACTGCCTTCCATTGTGTGTTACTCTGAAGCTTAAGAAGATGTCTCAAGCCTGTTTGGCTGCTCAGGGATCAAGATGGGTATCTAGTTTGGTCAAAGCAGAGGCCCTGCAGCTTACTTGTCACACTTGCTTCTTCCTAAGCAGTCTGCCACTCAGGTGCCTTCCTCTGTCTCTCGAGTAGTCCTTCCTTGGCTCTTCATGTCCAGTTCCTCCTGTAGGAGGGGCCAGGGCAGCAGCTCCCTTCTGACCACGCTCCTGTGTGCATGTGGTTGTGTTGCAACTCTCGAACTGAGAAGGGATGCTTCATGACCTTCCCAGCAGTCAGTTCAGCTTGTGGGCATGCGGGAGGATCGCTTTCTTTAAGGGGTACTGACTAATAGTATGATTCTTTCTTGTTTGTTGCTGTAGGTAGATAATAAAGGTCGGAATTTTCTTCATGTGGCAGTTCAGAACTCTGACATTGAAAGTGTCTTGTTCCTGATCAGTGTCCAGGCCAATGTGAACTCCAGAGTCCAGGATGCTTCCAAGTTGACCCCTCTGCACCTTGCTGTTCAGGCAGGCTCAGAGATCATTGTCCGAAATCTGGTAAGACACAAGGAAGCATAGAAAGTCAAGCATGTTTTAGGGTACATGCAGAAGTTGTCCTTCAAGCTGTTGTGAACTCAAGGCATGAATCTGGGAACTAAAGCAGTCCACCCAGGAAGACAGATGTGTCAAGACATTCAAGTCCCAAGTGTCCTAATGGACATGCTGGGAGTAAGATAGAGTCAGGCCTTGGGAGCCAAGGAGGATTTAACAGACAACAGAAAGAGACTGGAGGTCAGCTGTGTTGTCTGCCTGCTGCCAGGAACTCAGTTAAGACTTTCCCTCCTCCCTCCCCTCTCCTCCCTTTCCATCCCACCCCCCTTTTTTCCCCCACCTAGCTGACCTGGAACTCTATGCAGATTAAGCTGGCCTCAGAATAACAGACATCCACCTGCCTCTGCCCCCCCCTCCCAAGTTCTACCATACTCAGATTAGCTGAGACTTTTAAATGAACCGTGTCTTGATTTTTCAGAAAAAAAGTTTTATGTTTACAATAAAGAGTAAGTTAGAAAGAATTCCCCCTAAGCGCTTAGATAGTAAATCATGTAGAGTTGAGCCTGACTTTGCAGCACAATATAATGTTAGGAAGGAAACAAGCCCAGTTAAGAAAGAGTATGGTGATTGGACAGGGTGTATGTCAGTATTTAGATAGGGAGAATCTTGCATAGTACAGTGAATACCACTGTATTACTTCGCAATTATAATATACTAAAGTTGCTGGGCAGTGGTGGCGCATGCCTTTAATCCCAGCACTTGGGAGGCAGAGGCAGGCGGATTTCTGAGTTCGAGGCCAGCCTGGTCTACAGAGTGAGTTCCAGGACAGCCAGGGCTACACAGAGAAACCCTGTCTTGAAGAAAAACAAAACAAAACAAAAAATACACACACACACACACACACACACACACACAAAAGTCTTAGAATTCCTGTGTCCTAAGGAATAGCCATTGAACATAATGGTAGATAATTTGCCTTTGGTGCAGGTTTTGCTGTGTTTGTCTCAGTAGGAAAATGTACAAGATCCTCATGCACTCCCTCTCTGCCAGGAGGGCAGATTGTTGTCTCTGCAGATAAGAGACCTGTCCATAGACTTGGCCCTACTAATGGGGCCTTAAATTATGGGAGAAGCTGATTGAGTAATCAACTTTAACAGCTTCTTGCAGGAGCCAAGGTGAATGAATTAACCAAGCATCGGCAGACTGCTCTCCATCTCGCTGCGCAGCAAGACCTGCCCACCATCTGCTCAGTCCTCCTAGAGAATGGAGTGGACTTTGCTGCTGTGGATGAGAACGGAAACAATGGTAATTCCTAGGCCACTCTTTATAGTGTTGTGTGCTTCGGAAGTCCTGCTCTGCACTGGAGAGTGCTACACCCTGCTCAGGAAGGTTGCCTGGCGGATGTAGGCGCAGAGCTCTAGAGAGGAAGAAGCACACCCATCACTGAGCAGCTTCTCAATTTGATTGCAACCATGGGAGTCTAAAGTGGTTGGGTTTTTAATTACATTTTTAAAAAGATTTTATTTTAAAATTACTTTAAATTAGGTGAAGGGGAATGTCATGTGAGTCCTGGTGTCCTCAGAGACTGAGGCATTAGATTCCCCTGGAATTGCAGTGAGGTGCTAGGAATTGGACTAAGGTCCTCTGCAAGAGCAATGTATGCTCTTAGCTTCTGCACTATATCTATAGCCCAGTGACTTATTTCCTTTTTTTATGTGAGTTTCTACAGGACAATTTATTGGAGTCAGTTCTTTTATACATATGGGTCCTAGGGATTCAATTTAGGTCTTCAGGCTTAGTGGCAAGTGCCTTTACCCACTGGTGTGTGTGTGTGTGTCTGTCTGTCTGTCTGTCTGTCTGTCTGTGTCTGTGTCTCTGTGTCTGTCTGTGTCTGTGTCTGTCTGTCTTAGTTATGTTTTTACTACTCTGACAAGGCACCATGACCATCATGGCAGGTAGCATGGCAGCAAGTAGCACGGTGTTGGAGCAGTAGCTGAAAGCTTATGTCTGAGGGGGGTGAGGAGAGAGTGCACAAGAGGGAGCAATAGCAAGCCCTAATTGTGGATTTTGAGACTTCAAACTCCACATTCAAGTGATACAGGCAAGGACACACCTCCTAATCCTTCCCAAAAAGTTACACCAACTGGAGATCAAATTTTCAAATATTTGATCCTATGAGGTCATTCTCATTCAAACCACCACAGTGAGAGACAAAGCAAACACAGAGACAGAAGTAGCTTTCTGTGAAGCCATTAAATCTCAACTTTGAAACCAGCAGCATAGAAAGCAGGGCTCGTGAGATTGCACTGATGACTCATGGTAGAGAGGAGAGGAGAGGAGGGGAGGTATGAAAGGACAGCTCTGTACTTGGCTGGCCAGTTCTCTGACAATACATGTAGATGAGGTGGGAAGAAGATATACTTTTCTGTCTGTGCTTTGAGACTTGCACAGTAAGAGAATTTTCTCTCCAGCTCTTCATCTTGCGGTCATGCATGGTCGACTCAACAATATCCGGGCTCTTCTGACAGAGTGTACAGTGGATGCTGAAGCCTTTAATCTGAGGTGAGTGTGTCTGGCTGGTCCCAAGCATAGAGCAGGGTCTCTGTGATCTAGCCCATTGCCTCCCTCAGCCCCAGATGCACCTCAGCAGCTTTTGGTTCTATGGTAATGTTGATTTTATAATAAATATTATATGTCCTTTAGATTTAGTTAAGCTCACAGAGTTCAGAAAATTCCTTTTTTGTGTGGCAGTTATGACAGATACATGTCTAACCTTTGCAACCCATTTCATCAGAGGCCAGTCACCACTGCACATTCTGGGACAGTATGGCAAAGAAAACGCAGCAGCCATCTTTGATCTCTTCTTAGAGTGTATGCCTGAGTATCCTCTGGACAAACCAGATGCAGAAGGCAACACAGGTATGTAAATAAGGTCTCTGACTCTCAGCGTCTGTCAGAGATCCCTCCCGTGGAGTTTGGTTTCTGACATCTGTAGTGCTTCAGTGCTCGAGGAGCACATCCCTGTGACCAAGTAGACTTTCACATTGGTCGTAATTGCCCTCATCTGCCCATTACTCAGTTAACCAGGACCCTTCCACGTTCCCATTTCACTAGAGATAAGATGAACCAAGATTTGGGAAGCTCTAGGAAATGTGCCTCAGTACCTGTAACATGCTTGGAAGAAGTGGCAAGTTCTATCCAGGTGCCTTCTTGATAAGAGCAATATCCAAGCCTCTCAGGAGCTCACTTTCATGGGGTTTTGACAGAGTTTTATTATTAGGCTACTTAAGGCGCATCATTGCCCCAGTTGTAGCATAAGAGGCAGGTAGGAAAAGACTTGTATCCAGAGCTCTGATTGGTGGAGACTTAGTTTCAAGTGTCTCATTGTGTTACATTTTAGTAAGGTGACTGGCCTCCCCATACCCATGTCCTCATTGGATAATAGAATTAAGAGCCCTCATGTTACTGCATCATTTTGAGTTAAAAACTTAATGAAGTGTCTGGTAAGGGAAGCCAAGGGAACTGCTGCTCATTGTAACTTTGTAGAGAAGAATAGAATACCTAGGTCCGAGCCTGGCTTCCTGCTGGGCCAGCATTTCAGAAAAAAAAAAAGGCTCCTTAGGGTAGAGCAACATTCTGGAACATTCCTACACTGATTTTTGTTTCTCTGTATGTACTGAAATCTCACGTCTTTTATATTAAGTTACGCTGCAGAGAGCTTTGTCTTTATTGTAAAAGCATTGATTTTTGACTAGGGAAGCAACTGAGAAGTGGCTTTCCCCCATGTTCCCTACCTTAGTTCCTTTCGACAGACCTCAGGGTGGGAAAGTGTGTGCAGTTCTAATACTGTCAGGCTTCTGGCCCTTTTTGGGAAGACATTGCAGATTCTCCCTGGAGTTCTCACAAGTGCTTCAGACTTGTCTTTGTCTACCAAATGCCCTGCCAGTGTTCGACTCTGCCCATCCTTTGGCAGTAACCAGCTAGGGCTGGTGGGAATCAGCCTGACCTGTGATTTTGTTTTCTAGTGCTGCTCTTAGCATACATGAAAGGGAATGCCAACTTGTGCCGTGCCATCGTTCGGTCTGGGGTTCGCCTTGGGGTGAATAATAACCAAGGAGTCAACATTTTCAACTACCAGGTTGCCACTAAGCAGCTTCTATTTAGATTATTAGGTAAGTGGCATGCTTGCTGTACCTCCTCTACAAGTATAGTTATCTTGGTTGCATGCAAGTATGGGTAATCTTTAACTCTCATCATTTACTCTGAGATCTGAATCTGCTGTTTCTAGGCATCATGTAAGGCTAATTGTATGGAAGCTTGGTGGGTAGAGTGGGTTGAGACCCGACTCCGTTCCCTGCTCTTCCACAACTCCCAGTGGCACCTGGATGTCCAAGAGTCAGAGAACACCACAGCCCTGACCTCGTCACAGGCCTGGGG